AGAATTTTAGTTGTGATTGCACCTCAGGCTGTGTTTCGCTTACCTTTTAGGGAACATCTAATGATAGGTAGGTTTCGTGTCTTGTTTTGTTTTTGTTTTTTTTTTTTTTTTGAATATGGAAAAATTAGAGAAATGGGGGAATGTTTTTCAAGTTATTGATGGGAGTAGAACTCTAAAACTCAAGTATTTAGGTTTAAAGACAAACCACTAAGCCTGATGGATTGGTTCAAACAAACACTATTAAAATTTCTAACTTCAGCAACATGGAAGCATGTTGCTGAAAGTGCCTCTCATGTTGTTGAAAATCCTTCAGCAACATGGTTTTTGTTGGTAAAAGCCTTGTTGGAGAAGCCTTGTTGGCAGATACATTACCAACGAGCAAATTGTTGCTAATACATCAACAACATAATGCACATTGTTGAAAATATGGTTTCAGCAACATGCTCCATATTGGTAAAATTGTCCATCGAAATCTGACAAAAATTACTAATAAGTGGTAAAGAATTTTCAATAACATAAGTCACATTGTTGAAAATAAGTGGTAAACTGACAACCGAAGGGTTAAGATGAATTTAACCCCATTTTCAGTAACATAGGCCATGTTGTTGAAAGCATAATTTCAGCAAAATGGCTTATGTTGCTAAAAGTTAAAGGGAGTGCATGTACCCCACTTTTCAGTAACAAAAACTATGTTACTGATAATGCACTATCAGCAACATAGTCCTCGTTGCTAAAAATTTAGGTGAATAGTCAACAAATCTATTTTCAGCAACATAGTCATTGTTGTTGATAGTGAGGTAAATAATACATTAATTTTATAATATTATTATTACATTATTTAAGTTTGAAATTCACTTTTTTTTTTTTTATAATCACCAAATATTAAAATTTTTAATATCTCACATATAATATAAATATTTATTAATTCTATATTATTAAATTTAAATTAAATAACTTATGTTAATTAAGTATCTTACCAAATTTAAAATTTTTATTTTATTAAGAATTACCTACAAAACAAATAAATTAACAAAATTGTTAGTTATTATATATAATTATTTATAAATATATTTGAGAATTGATGGAATTTATTCAATTAGTGATATATATGAGAATTTAATGATAACAAAGAATAAGTACAATTAACATATTATATCATGGATACAAATGGGTGATCAAATATATGGAGGACGTGTCTGTGCTACAAAAAAGTAAAAAAAAGAAATGGGAGATGGATAAGGAGAAGGAATTGTGCAGGAGAAGTAAGGGAGAAGATTTGTAGAACGCATGGGAGATGGATGTGGATGGGGGAATATATAAAACTTTTAGCAACTTTTAGCAACATGGCTTATGTTGCTAAAAGTTGCTGAAAGTTTACCACCTTTTGAATTTCAAATCCACCACTTATTAGCAACATGTATCTTGTTGCTGAAATTTAAAATACCACTCTCCCGTCACATTCTACTCAATGATTAAAAATTATTAATTTTAATGATTAAATATCTTTTTTGTCCCTTTACTATAGGAAAAAGTCATTTTTTAGTCCATGTATTGAAAAAAAATCCTTGCTGGCCCTTAAAATTTAAAATTCAACTCCTTTTTACCCCCATCTT